ATCGGTTCATCCGCAAGCATGAGGTTAGGGTTCGAGCCCACCCAGTCTTGCAGTAGCACTTTACACTTTGCAGGTGTGAAGCGCATACCAAACCGCGAGGCAGAATTATTTAGATTATTTAGTATTGCGATTATGAAAAGTTGAGCTACAACAAACAGGCTGACAAAAATACACGATACTTGAGAAAGACTATTTGAGCTCAACACATAAACACGGATAGGTCCACCTACCATCCATGCCTTCCAAACAACGAAAGATAAGCAGCAGATTGGTCCGTATCACGTTCACTGGTTCGTCTAAGCCTTCTACTCGCATGCTCTTACGAAAGTTGTTGAACGTTACCGTGAGGTCATTGAAACTGAACAGAGAAGACAAAAACAAAAGGTTACGACAGTGTTCAACCATTGCAATGAGGTAGTAGAGCCACAGGTCCCAAAACAATACACGCTCGAGGAAGAAGCACAACAGAGAACCGAACAAGATGATGGGAGATTTCGATAGCGGAAAATAGCAGCCTAGCGGCAAAAACAAATATGTTGAAACTTGAAGTAAGCAGTTTTCGGGAGCAGTATGAATGAACAGTAGATCTTACGTAGATACATGAACAATGCATTCTGAATCTTCTGAGAGGATGAGAGGGGGACGACTGAAACGACATCAGTAGTGATGCCTGGAGGCCAGCCGTTCCTGATAACCGAACATCACATCATCTGGACGAATGTGTCACGGACCAAACGAAGGCATGCCCTGATTGGTCAGAATGCCAGCCAATCCGAGTCGAGCATCTTTGACTGGACGCTTCTCGCCCCCTCACGGAAATTCTGGCACGACCTTGTGGGACACTCTGTGACTACCCTATAAATACAGTTGTAGTACTTTTCTTTTGTCTCCACAAACGGCTGCGTAGAGCTACCGTGCCTTTTGATACAACCATAGTGAGCGGAGCAGGAAGCCAAGGGACCGATACAGAGTTGCACTACTGTTCAGCAAGACACAAAAACTAATTAATACCCATGCCTTGTGAAAACAGAGCCATTACAATAGGATTTTGAAAGCAAAAGTTTCCTCGAGAACGCGAGTAACAACATCCAACATGGGAGTAGTTGTTCTATACCGATCAAGTGGCTGTTTCCTCCATCACCCTGCGGAAAATGTCACTTTTTAATGTTGATGGGTGATGGGGACAAAGAATTTTCAAACGAGAACTCCGAATCTCACTTGCTATTTTTGTAGAACTTCAGCAGAAACATCATTGGATTGAAATCCTTGTCGGTCAGTTGCACAGAGCCGGGAGCTGTCCAAATAACAAACGGGGAAAAGTGTTTCGGCATGCAGGCCATTTAAGGTAAAAAGCAAAAAAAAGTTGTATTATCATAGGATGGTTAAATGAAAAAGCATGCATCAAAAATGGCTCCGCGTTTTGTATCAATTCCTATACCCTTTCTCAGAAGCGGACTTGGAAAAACAGCTCAAGATGTTCTGCGTTCAGAGATCTAATAAACTTCCGCCGATTATGAGTAATACAGAGTAACTAGGGGGAACCGGGAGCTGTCCAAATAACAAACGGGGAAAAGTGTTTCGGCATGCAGGCCATTTAAGGTAAAAAGCAAAAAAAAGTTGTATTATCATAGGATGGTTAAATGAAAAAGCATGCATCAAAAATGGCTCCGCGTTTTGTATCAATTCCTATACCCTTTCTCAGAAGCGGACTTGGAAAAACAGCTCAAGATGTTCTGCGTTCAGAGATCTAATAAACTTCCGCCGATTATGAGTAATACAGAGTAACTAGGGGGAAAACAGCCCGTCGATGGGGGGCTTTCGCCTGCCGACAAACCTCCGCACGATAAGGAGAATCAAGGTGAATCAAAGTATTAGAAAATGTCGAAACGTTCACCTAAACATGCAACTAGTGAAAAAAGGTTCTGGAAAGTTAGACTGATATACGAAAAATGCATGTGACGCACCCTTGGTTCAGTAAAAAAGGAACGAAAACCAGGATTTGGTGAACAGATATCAGTGGTCCGTTTATTACCTGGTATGCAGACTGTGAGAAACAGTCTGATTAATGTTCCTTTCTGTGAACCCTATTGTGAGCTGAGCACGTTAAGGCGCACATAAAAGTGCTTTTTCCGTGCATTGATTTTCTCAGCAGGATCGATATTCATAGATGATCCGGTCTAAATATTCCCGAAAGCGTCTAAAAAGCAGGTGAGTGCATTCCATCAGGAATTAGACCTAGACGTTTGTAGAGTATGCAATGTAGCAGTTGGATTTCCTCACTTCCGTTCTAATTAGAGCTTTCAGATTTCCAACAGGACAGTCAAAGTGACCGTAATAGTTTTGATATAGTATGCACAGAACTTCTACAACACCACTGTGCGCTAAATGCCACCGGAGTAAAAATTCATTATAGGTCAGAAAACGTCCGACAGTAATTGATAGAAAAATGTACCTTCCTGGCGTGCTCACTAAATTGACTGTGTTTACTCCCAAATTAAAGTATAACCCATGATTCCTGTTCTCAGCTGGTCCACAGAAACAGTTACAAGAGACCTTGTCAAATTCATTGTTTTTTAGTGGGTGTTTATGTTCATGTCTATTTGCAGGGCAGTTCGGATTCCAAACGCTAGTTGCTCGGGCAGGAACGGCTGAGATATATCCGTGTTCCCAATGGCTCATCAGAAATCAGAATAGGTTATTTCTTTGAGGGGAAAATACTACTCCTAAACTGCTCATTAATGCGAAAACATGATTCAGCTGAGATTCAGGTGAGTATCCCGGTAGAACCAAATAGGTATTAAAACGAGTGTATTTGGAGAACGGATTACTGCTCAGTGTCATCGTGTAGGAATTACTTGTGAGTCTTTTAGTCTGACCTATTCACATGAATTTACCGACCACAGAAACGGAGGTCCAATCTAACAGATCCTCCCTTGTTAACTGGGCTATTGTGAATCTTCAGTGGAGCCCAGTCAAGCTCATCTACGCTACAACGACGGAAAGGTATAAGACAGATATTTCATCCTCGTCGGGAATCGGGAGTATCGCAAATTGCACGGAACTCTATAGAGATTCAAACTCGAGACCTCCCAGCTAGTAGTTGAACCTTAACCGTTAGGCCACAAGCGGTTGATCGATATTGTGGTTAAATCACACCAAGGCAGGATGTGGCCCAGCGCATCTTAAAACCACCGAATCCGCATCACGTGATCACGCCTTTGCGGGAACATATCGTCTGGATGTGAAAATAATACACTCGTTTACACACCAACTAGGTTTTCATAAGAGACTCTATTGAATCTCCCGTTTATGATATTCTTCAACAAAGACCGCCTCATGTTTCAGTTGACACGATATCCCAGATATCGCAGTATAGTTACATAAAGGAAACTACTCACAAGGTCGAAGAGTTTTCAACGTCCAGATTTCGCTTCCATCCTTAATGGACATCACTACTTTCTGTTTCTGATTACATAAACTATAACTTTCCACCGAGTCAACATTTGTTTTATCGCCTTTTAGTCAGCTGAAGGCTCGCCCACATGTTCATGTGTTTTAAGTGCGCAAGAAGTCGGAAAATTTGTTGAAAATGCCTGACTCTCAAATGCAAAGGCATGGTTTACATGCGGGATATACGCGGTCCTCAACGACTTTCTCTTAGCACTGTTATACGCTTTCCGGCAAACTCCTTGAGCCATAACCGGGGAAGTTGACCAGAGAATTATTCACCTAGGTTTTCGACCAAGCGTATTTTATTGCAATGCATCCACTGACCACTACGGAATCNACCTTCCTTTTGGATAGTGCCAGTGGGGACAAAGACCATAGGCACTGTGCAGCAGCACAAATTGAATCCGCGGAAATCACACATATTGCACGCAGTCCACAGGTGGTCATCTGCTGGATCAGCGCAGTGGCTTAAAAGGGTTTCACGACAGCTCAAAACGCAGCAAGATCCCTGAAAACTTTTGAACACACTGTATTAAAATTAATCATAAATTCAAAGTAGTGAGGCTTCGAATGATTTGTTGAAAATTGAAAAGTATTAAGTCGCACGAAAACAGACATAATAAGAAGCCGGTAACGTGAAATACGGCATGACGCTTCATTTCCCTTACACAGTGATATACCAATCTGGAGCTGAAAAGCAAAATCAAGAACTGGCACATAGGGAACAGCATTCCGTGAGGGTTAGATCGGTGCCCAAGCAGAAAATGACATTTTTAGTCCAATAAACTATGGAGGTTGGAGGAAAACACATCATAGAATCTAATATCTAGTTAGTCGTTTAGTCGAGGAATTTTAGTTGGCTTTGGATAAGCAAAGTCTGATCTAAGTCTAGACGCCTCAACATGGTTATATCGATCACGCAGAAAAATACCTACCTGGATAGATGCTGCGCAGAGCAGAGTCTGAAAGCGGTATATTGATGCGGGTCAGTTCCGACATCGGAAGCCCAGTCGAAGGATCCAGATCTCCGCTGGAAACGGGAGCTGTTCCAGGTGCACCACCGGAGCTGCCTCCACTTCCGTGTTCATAAATTGCTGGACAATGTCGACGTTCATCTAGAGGCCAGTAAGGCACCGAAGTTTGTGGGCCTACAATTAGACAAGTAAAGGGAGAAGGAACTCATTCACTCGGAGGCGCAAATTTCCTATGGGACACAAGAACGTGAATGATATCCAAATGCTCTATGAACACAGGTTACGCTGTTCAGGCCGTGTACTTCGTATGCCAGAGGACCGTGTATGGCGGTCAGCCTATGATTTGGCAACGATGCCACGAAATTCTAGTCAACTGGCGCGTTCGTACCTACCAAACAAACAGAACCATTTGACATCATTAGGTGATTGGGCCATCACCTCCAACGCGTTGCTCCTATTCCTTTATTCTCTTTATCCTCGGTGAACGAATCCGTAGTAGCTGGAGCCAGTGAAATGCGACACACGGCTTTTTAAATGGAAAAATTAACTGAACTGAACTGCCGGCCATCAGACGACCTTCTACATACGCCGAGACTACCAACTGTTTAGTCGTGTAATTCATTCACCATGAAGGAGCCATGATTTGGTTACCAAGCTGAATGCTTTTCGTTGTTACCTAATATACTCTAATATGACGTTTGTCATGCTGTATTGTATTGTTTCGGGCCGTGAAAATTAGGACGAAGGTTAATGATTGACATTCAGCCTTCCAAATGTAGTAGTAGCGGAAACTTACCGACACTACGTTCGGCCGACTGATGATAACTGACAGAAGCAGTACCAAACTTGTCGTTGTTTGTGACGACGACAATTTCAAGCTCTCCTTCTCCCAAGGGTGTGATCGCCGTTATCCGACTAGGTGAAAACCATTGGGCAGTCGGCCCGACATCTATTTGATTGATGAATACATGCGTGAGATCATTGGCTGTTTGTCCCAGATTTTCACCGCGAATCGTTAATTTTGTCCCTGGCGTGCCTTCGTTAGGCGAAATGCCTGTGACGTGTGGTGCAGGGCCACCAGCTTTCATTATTTTGTGTTTGTGTTAAGAAACAACGTTCGCTGAAATCAAAAGAACATAAAATCGGTTACAATTAAAATACCCCACCACCTTCCTACAGTTGAGCGCCTTTTCCATCATCGAATGTCAGATGTTAATAACATTGTTTTCATTCCCAAACATCCACTCGGAATATAAAGACAGGGAAAACTTCCACGCCTCGAAAGCACATCTTGGCAGAATGTACACGCGAGTGACCGGCTACTTTACGTATGCTTTTTTCTGACTAGTAGCGGTTGGTGACCGTCTGTTGGGTTATTTATCGTGGTATCTCGCCTAGTATTTTTATGGTCTATGGAAAACAGCTTGGCCTCAGTTCTTTTGGTAAACTCCAAACGACAAGAAGCCTCAAGTCGTTTTACATGGACGGCGATAAACACAGCATAACTACATATCGAGCAGTCACACCGATGTCCGTCCAAGGGATAACCATGGTGAAGGGGCTAAATGGACCTAAACCTCATATAGAAAACAACGCCCCGGGAGGATTTATCTGTGTCCAACAGTTCATGGCTTAGAAACACGCTGCTGATGTTAAAGAGCCGATGGCGGTCAGCTGGCCAAGACACTTATATAGACGCTGTTGTTCGACGTCAGTAGAAGGTTCACTCAGTTGCGTTGCAACATCTTCCTTGCCCTTGTCTAAGAAACCCACTCACCCACTTCATTCTAAACATCGAGTCAACGGAAGACGGGCAGTGGTGGGTGCAGAACTTTCTGAACAACTATCAGTGAAAACCACGCTGCTCAACCATCATAAAAGCTACAGCAAAATGGCACGATGCCTACTGACGATACATTCATGCCCTGCCAAGTGTTACTGTCTTGTGTTCAGTCAGTACAAGGATGCTACATACGAACGGTTCAAACCGTTCTGCACCGAACTTCTGTGCAGATGTCTTTCTCAGACATGACTTCCTGGGGTTACATAATAAAGTTGAAATTCAATTCGGTGACCAACAAGTCATCCTAACTCTATGTGGCGTAGCATCAGCAAAACTGGAATCTCCATCTTTATTCACTAATCTTGCTGCGAATTACAAACCGATCGCCACTAAATCTCGGCGTCATACACCGCAAGACGAACAATTCATACTAACTGAAGCGGACCGAATGCTTACCGATGGCAGTAATCAAAGCATTGAATTCCCCGTGGATAGCACAGATGCTTGTAACGCGCAATACGAATCACAAGAGGCGTATGGTGAGAGAATACAGTCAGATAATCAACCGCTCCGCCTACCTTGACGCTTATCCTTTACCAAGACTGAATCAAATGATTGAAACCATCGCACGCATGCGCCCTATAAGAGAACTCCCAGTTCCACAGGACGGGAAATGGCAACAAAGGGCCATTGGTCTGTTCGCCTACTATTCACAGTGGATACCGGCATTTTCTGACAAAATCCATCCACTGGTTAAAAACAAAATATTTCCGAACAGCATTTGAGAACCTTAATCACGAATTAGAGAATGTGATGGTCATTACTGTCGACTACAACATACCTCTCGTCGTCGAAACTGATGCGTCTGACATCGCTATTAGTGCATCCCTGAGCTAGGGTAGCTGGCCGGTCGCCTTTTTCTCCAGGACCTTGAGTACGAACGAGGAAAGTCGTTCGCACTCACGCATACAATCTGCGCAACAAGGGGCGTAGACGACTCCACGTAACTACCACAGCTTTTATTTTTTTTACACTCGTTCGCCGCAAAAGTACACACATTCCGAAGTGTCAGTGTGCCACAGCACATGAGCGAAAATGTGAGAGTAGCCAGAAAATCAAGTACGCACCATTGGATCTAATTCCGGGCAATGGTGAAAAGTGTCCTAAGTCAGGTACAGTTTGGATCCCAGTTCCGGAAGTTGTAACATACATAGAGCTAGTTTTCGGCTCCTACCTCGATGTGTTCGCCAAGCTATCCGCCGACATCTCGACAGTAGTTTCCAACCCATATTCAGTGCCCAAAAACAAGATCGCCTAAGTGTCCAGTAATTTAGCACCTTGCAGAAATGTCCGAGCCATCATAGTTAGTGCTGCATTCGCATTGTACTAATGAACCTTGTTCCCCAAATTTTACTCGCACAATACGTTGGTGACGCTCTATAGGCACTGTTGGTCACAGCCTATTATCATTCCATACTCGAATGGTCCACACTTCACACAGACTGAAAAGCGCACCACATATCGAAGCATTGTACATTCATCCCTCGGCAACAAACATATGCATCTTCGGAACTTTGAAACCCGTGGTGCTTAAGCAGCTTGCTAGGTATGACAATGATAACCCTTCAGCCTTTAACCTTTTGGTGTACGGCTGCCATACCATACGAAGGAAACACGACAGCTGAGGTACTGTAAGGTTGCCTAATTCTAGACATCTTGCCCTCAGACAGGAGCAGTCTAGTGTGGGTTCGGAATATGGACGTCTGGTTAGTCAGTCCGCGCCCTAACCACTGAGCTATCGCGACCTCTTCCCCAGATACATTCCTCAGTCAGTTCGAGTGTGGCTCCATTGCGATAGTATGTCCGCGTTGCCTGACCAATAAAGTACTCTCACTTTGCACTTAAGTGAAAAACCCAACCCGAAACGACGGCCACAAATATCTTCAGCTTGTAAAAGGTAACTTGTGCTCTGTTCGTACAATCACAAAGCAGTATCATGACGTCACTGTCTTCCAAGCCTCTAAGGAACTATCCTGGGAATAGCTCAACACCACCGTGCACGGATGTATAGGAAATTTTCTTGATGGCAGTGGAGCATCAGTGTTTCGGATTATGATGTTTTGTTGTTATCGATAAAGGATTGGAATGGAATTGGGATTGATGGGTAGCCTGAAAATAGTAAACGCGAGGGCAGTTCAGCGAGACTCAAAACTGCACAAGTGTACGCTCTCATACGGTACCAAGCATGTCGACGGATGTTAACAAAACACATTTGCCATGGAATAGCTCAATAAGATAGTTCTGATCCAAAGGTCAAAATCCCTTTTGACGTCAGTGCGATTTGGTATGCACGTTACACCCCTTAAAATGCAAAGTGCTGTTACATAAACAGGCATTTCGGCTTTCATGTGCTGCATCTTGACGAGAACCATTCAACTAGTTGGACCTTATCATACCAGGACTAGCCTGAACTAAAGCCGTCACCTTGAAATGATGGTCGGGCTTGAGTACTGCAATATACCTCACTCCCTGCGCCCTCGGGTTAGGCCAACCCCCTGTAATCGAGCAGGTCACACTATTGAGTCATCAACTCCGGGCAGGATCTCCAAAGAAAACCCTACTAACCGCTGCCTCACGGACCAGACTTTTGAGTTAGAGGCTCAAGATAAGGTATCTCAACAAAACCTTTATCCTTGGCCTGGGTAACCGGGAAGTATTCTTTGCCCGCAGAGTTCTTTACCCACCAGTGTTCGCCCCCAACTCTTTCGTATCACACAAGCAAACGTTGCCGGGTCATTTGACTGTCAGTTATCTGGCCGGTACACCCCGCTGCCTATTAACAATGAACAAAACAACATCCTATTAAACCCATGAGATCCTTTACACATAGGAGATTTCAACGTCCGTACTCTATGCTAAATTAGCAAACAGGGAATGTTCATTGAGATCCTGAACTCCCTTAAAATTGATGTATGCTGTGTCCTCGAAACACGCACACAAGACACAAGCGTGGTTATATATCTCAAAACGCCCAGGTCGAACTCAGCTCTCTGACATTTCCCCCTCAGTGTGTCCGGTGATTCAGAAGCGCTGACTCGTGGAATAAATTGCGTGGGAGTTGCACTCAGCCGTAGAGCTGAATGCGCCTTCCTAGATTGCATTCTAGTGAACAGTCGTCCAGTCATTCAGTTCAATCAAGCTCAATGCCTCGACAAAAAAAGGATGCTTGGTTATGGTGTATACTTCTGCTCCAATGGACTGTGATTCTGATGCTGGGAGAGGTATTTTCTATCGAGAGTTATCCGGGCTCATTCGTTGAGCGAGAAGCACTGATACTGTGATCCTTGAGGGTGATATGAATGCCCAAGTCGATAGTCTGAGCTCTTTAGAATCACATCTGACCGGTCAACCTGGAGTTCATGATCGTTGCACTAACAGCAGGCATCGGCTACACGAGTTGTGTGCCGATCATGAACTGTTTCTGGTTAGCACAAACTTTCATAACATTGTACTGGTAGCGAGCACGTGGATGAAGCATGGAAAAATGTGGAGGGAGTTATGCTAGTGACGTTTGGTGGTGTCTGCCCAACTTCTCCAATATAGATGACCACTGGATATCGTCGAGGTCGCTAGTCCTGATTGATACCAGGCAACCAGCACGATGGCGTACCCAAATACCTCAAACGCCAAACAGTAAAGAGCCTGAGGAGCCTAAGAGCTTTGATGAGCATCGAAAGCCCGGGAGACGGAAAAGTTTTTGTTACCGGAAACAGCCATGCCCTATATCACCTGATATGATCAACTGGTCTGTAAAACGATAAATGAAAAAGGCAGCTCATTAATTCACTCCCAAAAAGACCGACTGGAAGGATGGGCCGAATATTTCGATAAACAGTTTAGCTAGCCTCCTGCGAGACAGCCTCTGGAAACAGTACAGGCTGTTGAGTGGAACGAAAACCCTCATCACCAGCCAGAGGGAGAAATAACACGGAAGCCCCGTACTGAAACGTGGTGAGGCACCAGGGCCAGATAGTCTGTATCCAACCCTCTTTAAAGGTGGAGAATCCCTGGTGACCAACCTGACAAAAATTATTCACTCGACATAAAGTTAAGAGAAAGTGTCTGCAGACTGAGGCACATCGATAAATATTCCTATCCTCAAAAAGGGTACGGGGAGCAGTGTGAAATTCATCATGGCACCAGCCTGGTAGCTGCAGCACCGAAGGTGCTCTTCGGTCCTATCCTTCGAAGGTTGACCGAGCACAGGGACAGACATCCGTGAAAACCAAGCAAGGTTCGGTTCTGCAGGAGGACGCGTCGATAGCATTTTCGCCCCACG